CCTCTTCTGTAAACGGACTCTAGAAACACACTTTAACAAGCCACATCTAGATTATAACTGCCCACGTCGAAAATTTAAAACCATGAAAAATATGTCTCAGTTAAGAAAAATCTGTGGATAATTTGATTTTCTTGCGAACTCTCAATCACTTCGATGAGATTAAACGAGCAAAGTTTCCGCTGAAATACGTTAACAAAAATCGGAAACAGTCATCAAAACAAATCTTACTCAAGTTTCCAATTTCAACGATGCAGTGAAGTAATCCGTTTTTAAATGGTGATTCGTGATCGCCTGAAGTGAACGAGAAATCACATTTTGGTTGAGTGAGACAACTGAATTTCAGATAGAAACCATTTGTGAGTTGAATTATCAAAGTGATCTGTTCTCGGTTCAGATATTACCGCTACTGAATGATGCTGCTCTCACAAACTTACCGGATAAAACGTAGGTTCATTTGCATAAATTTTCCTTCTCCCTCTAGTCATTGTCAGCAAAAATCTGCTTACACAGACGTAAACTTTCACTAAATTTTCTCATCTTTCAACCTCGTAAAAGGTAAGGAGCCATCCATCTCTCACTGCACAGGCTTATTGTTATTTGACAATGTATTTAAGCAAAGTTCAACCATGAAAAGTTCTCTGTATGTTTTCAGGATGGATCTTTCAATGCTTGGCTATAATTGCGCACATTTATCGGAGCGTGGTCTTTCACTTCTTCATATCAATGTATGGAACTCACTTTTAACTAAACAATCCGAGCGTACGCATCATTTTCGTCCCAGATTTGTCTTACCTCATTGCGTTGATCCTCAATGTCCTTTTATTCGAACGCACAACAATAGTGCCTTATGCTTGTGGAATAAACAACAGTCTAAGGTGAGTGAGCCAGCAGCCATTATCGTTTTGTGAACATTTTGTTACATGCACATTTGAACATCCATCCCACTTACATTCAACGAATTATGCCATTCTCATCTCAATGAATCAATCACTTCAGTTCACACCAATTTACTAACCGTAAATCTCACAGTCAGTCCAAAACCTAACCTTGCGCTTCCACCAATCCGTAAACTGGTTTCTGATTCCGAGTCTAAGCCAATAGTGATGCTTCAATAGATAGATTCTGAAGGTTTTATAAAATGCTGATATGATGACAAATAATCTGATCGTGAGAGTACTGCAAGAACGGCAAGAAGATAATCTTTTACAACGCTAGTGCAAACTGACTTGCATTCCTTTTATATTCTCGCTTTTCTATGAACAACTCAATCATCGATCTAAATGTTTTGAATGTGAAGTTTTTGTGCATCTCCACTAAAAATTTCATATTATGAAATCATCAGTGGAGAATGTGAGCAGTTGATTGTTGATGATGATGTGTTTGCTACGAAAACAAAAGACTCAATTT